ATCCTGGATCGGGATCACCAGGAAGTTACCCTGGATCGGGATCACCAGGAAGTTACCCTGGATCTGGATCACCAGGAAATTATCCTGGATCGGGAACACCTGGAAATTATCCTGGATCGGGTATACCAGGAAGCGGCGGTCCTGGCGGAGCTCCACTGCAAGATGGAAATAGCGGTAGACCTTATCCTACGGGAAGCAATCCTCAAGGCGTCATTCCATTAGAATGTAAGAAGGGTCTGTTTGGTTGTGGAGCACCCGGCAGCGGGAGCTACGCAGGTGATAAACATCCAGGAGGAGGCTTTGGCGGGTTCGGTGGAAATGTTGGAGCCGGTACCGGGAATCCGGGAGGTGCTAGCAATGTTCCTAGTGGACCTGGAAATCCCGTATCCGGCGCAGGTCATCCAGGATTAGGAGGGAACAATTTAGCGGCATCCGTTAGCGGTGCCCAGGCGAGAGCTTATGCTGGAGCTTTCAGCTCCGCTCAAGCTTCCAGCTCCAGTTTTGCTGGCTCCTTTTCCGGCGCCTCAGGTTCGTAGTTTGTAAAAATGTGAAAAAAATCTGAAGGCACAATGCTCTTTCAATACGAAACGTCACGTTTTAAAAGCAAAAAATAATTGATCCTACGATATGTTTAAAAACACGGAATTATATAATTCAGCATATAATATTTTGCAATTGTCTGAAAATTAAAAAAATTTTATCGTAGACATTGTTGCAAACATTAGGTCTCGAAGTATTTTAACGATATGAACAGTAATTTATTTATATTGAAATTAAGGCCATGATCTGGAAATGAACAGGCAAACCGGACGTCTATTCAAAATTGGATAACTAGTGTTGCGTTAACAAGCCGCACGTTCATTAAGATTAGAACGAGGGAGTTGTATGCCGACTGTAAATCAAGCCAACGATGCGTTCATAATTCCACGGCGTTTATATCCCCCCGATGTCAAGTAGATCATACCAATGGAAGATTTCTCACGGCTAATATCACATCTCCACAAGACATTGTAGCGGCACTTTTTGAAACGGGACGAATATATGCGAGATAAGAGCGTAATCTCCCTCTCACAGTGGGAAAAAAAATAGGCTTCAAGGTCAGGCCGCGTTTGCATTACGAGAGATTGGAAATAAGCGTGTGATTGATGCGTTCCTTCGTACAATGATGCATAAATCAAAGATAGCAGCGTCTTAATTAATAGTAAGCGCCGGTTCCAGGTATCCATTTCCGTTCTTTGACTACGAAAGTTGTTATACACACACAGCACACACTCGCATCAGTATAATTAATTTATCATATCAGTAATATCTAGCAACGATACGTGTCTATTATTATCAGATAATATAGCAAATGTCGTCAGCCTGTTGCAATTTGACTCTTTAAAAAGGTCTGTGTGATATTTAAAATGTTTCTAAACAAAAGTTGAATTTAATGTACTTTATGTTACGACGAGCATCTCTTCAAGGATAAAGTACTGTTGATTTCAACAGTTATAAATGCGAAATAATAAAGGAGTAAGAGCCTAATTAAAATTATTTAGATGTTAACATCTTGGCTTTTACTCCTTTATTACTTCGTATTTGTTTTCACAATAGAGCCTTGTGAATTTTATTAATTGTTATTAACAGTTATTCTTATAAAAGTTTGGAGTTGTATTTGAAGTAACATGACTTAATAGCTCTTTAACATACTAGCACAAATAAAATAAAGACAACCATTTTATATGAAAATCTAATAAACAGTTTCGTGCTCGTAGGACCCGCCAATAATTTTGGGGGAAATTTGTCTCCTGATGCAGCGCAAAATCAAGGCGGACCTAATTCCTGGGCTTCCAGCGGTGCCTCTGCCTTTGCCAGTGGTAGTGCCGGAAGTAAGTTTCCGACAAGATTATTCTTTTAAACATATTCAATGAAATGTATTCATATGTATATTCAGATGCAATTACTTAACAGAAAATTGCTAGAAAGAATATTAAAAATAATATCAACATATTATCTCATTGCAGGCTGGTCAGGAAATCGGCCTACCAACGTAAAGGGTTAACCATTTCAATCAGAAGACGAATATTAAACTGCAATAAGTGCAAACGACGACGTCATTCCGAAATATAATATACATTTGACGTTCGCTTAATCATTAAAATACTTAACGTCTCTCGTGTAAAGCTTTATGTATAAAAAGATTTTATATTTACTTGACGTATCATTTATTTATCGCAATCGGCACAATGATAAGTAGATAAAATTTTCCATTTATACGCGCATTTTAGTTAATCGAGAAAGAAAATTGACTTCTTTGAATAATGATTTACGTCACAAACACTAATTATCTGTTATATGATCGATAATTGGTCGTAATGTGATATTCCATGATAACTTTTTAAGCTAGTCTATTGAAACAAAAATAGCTTTTATTATCTGCGCCGTATCGTTTGTTAGAAAGATATATTTAATAAATAATTAAGTCCTTAAAGAAATATTAATAAGGAATCTAATTTTCCTTAGCATATAAGCAGCAATATTCGAGCTTAATATTCCAAGGGAATTGAAGTATCAACGTATCAAACATCTCAGTGTGTGTTAACGAGCGAGCTATTATCCTTAATATTCTTACAACGCAGAAGTAATTACGGCCCGCTGAGAAATGTATAAAAGGATGTTTTAGTTGCATAGGTTCAGTTGTTGTTCTTCCGGGTCTACGCCGTGTGTTACTCGAGAATCCAGCATTTTGCGATCATCATGAATATCATCATATTATTTTCAGTCCTAATAACGTTATTAATTCAACTATGTAGCGCACAATACGGTAAGTCACACTTGTCCGCATGATGAAAATGCTCGATTAGAATATGGCAAATTGAAATAATTGCAATACCACGATAAAATTTTGTTATTAATATTCAATATAGAAAATTTTTTAATTACGATCGCTGCCGATGTTACCCATATTATACCATATTGGTATTTATTCGTTCTCCTATTTGACATAATTCATTGAAATGTTGATAAAATTTACACCCTGGGAGCCAACGTTTAATTTTTTATGGCTATTTTATGAAAGTAATTTTTTAGCTAATAAAATATTATTTTTACCGCTAAAACTCACGTCGCGTTTGTTTTTATTTTTCTCACGTTTGACGTAAATTGAAAATGTCTAACGCAGAATTTCCACAATTTTTAGATGAAGTTAATAACGAAATTGTTTCTAACTCAAGTATTATGTTATTTGTATTGTTTGCGAACTAACGATTGCCAATTTAAGTCTTCTAACATTAGACTGCAATTTATTGGCTATTAATCGTATCATGTACATGGAATATTTTTAACAAATTTTGAATTTATATACAATTTAGGTTCTGGAGGCATGCGTGGCATGGGTGGCATGGGTGGGGGATGGATGCGAGGCGGAGGAAGGCGGAATTATGGGGATTACAATGGTGGAGGTAGATACGATATGGGCCGAGGATATAATACGGGACGAGGATACGGATCAATGTATTGAAATCCAGAAAAGTCAACGAATGACGATAAACTGGAACTGTCATAAGGCTCCTGTGTATTCCCTCACTATCTTCGTATTGAATTGTATTATATCGTATTGAATTATAATATATCGAAACAGAAAGGGGAAGAGACTATGTAAAAAATTTTTCCTTGCACTACACTTATTATTATATCTATAATATTTTATCCTAATAGGAACGAAAAAGCGCATTAAAGACAGAGGATAAATTGAATGTGTAAAATTTTTTCGCACTCCACTATTCATACTTGATAGCTTGATATAAATTGACGAATATTTGATATTGAAAAAAAGTTCACGATCTCTCGCTTTTGACGCCACAATTTAATAGATAAAACAACTATCTTAATTAAACGCACAGTATCATAACAAAAGTAGCTTAAAATGTTGTACATGTATTGCATTCACAATTTTTATTTTACTTTTTAAAGAAAGTTATATATTTTTTTATCAGCTTTTGTCAAGTTTCTACTGTTTGTCAAAAAACTTGTTTACTTACTGAATATTGTAAATTACAGTTAGCCTGCGAGGCAATCGCACAAATGTTGCGTAACAGTCTCAGTATTAGTAACACAGTAAATTTTAATTTCACGTTATTGTTTCAGGTGTCTTCAAAGAGATATTCTCAACTCTACTCGAGAAAATACGGAATTTAAACAAACGATATGTAATCTACATCTGATATTTTTTGTGTTATTTTATCAATCTAGCGACGTAATAATAATTGGTTCTTTACTTACATTTGTTAAAGTTATTACGCTATAATGATTTCAATTACGAACCAATAGTTTATTATTATTATATATATTTCCCCCTTTTCAGGTTAAAAAGACTGTAAAAAGCTTTCGAAAAAGATCCAATATCTTTGTAACATTTATATGAAAATTTTTTTCCGTTGAGGATTCTCAGTTTTCATCTGCACAATTATTTCTTTCTTTTAAATTGTCTTTTATTTCTTGAGCCAATGTAATAATTTGTAGATATACTGCTTTGACGATATTAATTCTCAGCGTATCAAGTGCAATGCATGGATTAATATTTTAGCGATTTTGCTCGTTTGTCTTTTAGGTAGGAGTATTAAGTGACTTGGCAATTTACTTAGAAATTAATTTATTATTTGTCCATACACAGGAAAAAATACGACTTTATCAGACCTATTGGCATATAAAACAGATATAGGTGTAATCATGGAAATATGCTATACAACTACAAACATACGGTGCTCAATGTAAAGAAACAGAAAGCCGTAATAGACTAGATCCGTGTAGTTAGGATATGTGATTTGAGGACAGGTGACTATTCAATGCTGTTTTATGGGCGAATTTTTTCATACAAATAAGACATTCGTGAGTTTTTTCGTTAACGTGCACCAACAAGTGCTTTTTCAACGCCGCTTTGTCTTTAAATATTTTCTGACAAGTACTACATTCAAATGGTCTCTCACCAGCGTGTACCAGGATGTGGCTGTTCAACGTGGTCTTCTGCGTGAAAGCTTTGTGACACACGTAACATTCGTATGGTCTGTCACCGGTGTGACTTAACATGTGTTTCCTCAACGACGACTTCTCCTTAAACGTCTTCTCGCAGATGTGACACGCGTGTCGCTTATCGCCCGTGTGTATGGTCAAGTGCGAGTTGAGTCGCGTCTTCTCCCTGAACGCCATATCGCACATACTGCACGCGAACGGTTTCTCACCGGTGTGTATCAGAGTGTGCCGATTCAGATCTGATTTTCTGGTGAAGATCTTGTCGCACACCTTGCAATCGTACTGGCCGCCGGTGTGCAACAACATGTGACTGTTTAAATCCGATTTCCTTGCGCATGCCTTGTGACAGATGTGACACTCGTGCGGCTTCTCGCCCGTGTGGACCAGCATGTGAGAATTGAGCTTGGCCTTCTCCCGGAAAGTCATCAAGCACTCTTTACACTCGTACGGCCTCTCGCCGGTGTGGACCATCGTATGCCTGATCAGCTCTGACTTTCTCTTGTACGTTTTCTCGCAAATGTTACACGCGTGCGGCTTGTCGCCGCTGTGCGCCAGCATGTGATTGTTGAGCGCAGTTTTCTGGGCGAACGCTCTGTGACACAGCGAACACTTGAAATGCTTGTTCCCCGCGTGGAGCGGCAGGTGCATGTTCAGCTTCGCCTTCTCCTTGAACGCCTCGAAGCAGATGGTACATTTATAGGGCTTGTCCGGATTCGTATGATTGGCCATGTGTCGATTCAAATTCATCTTCTCCTTAAACGTCATGTGACACACGTCGCACTCGAACGGCGGCCTGTCCTCCATCTGCATTATCTGCTCGTTCATACCGGCTCGCTTCATGAAGGCCTGCTGCAACGCGTCGCAATCGTACGGTTTATCCAGCACGTGCAATTGCATGTGGCTTCTCAGGCTCCACTTGTAAGCGAATCTTTTCTGACAGATGTTGCACTCCAACGGGCTCATTCCAACGTGAGTCAACATGTGGGCGTGCAGGCTGGAGTTGTCGGTAAAGCTCTGCTGGCAAACCTCGCACTGATTTCCACTGCAGTGCGTCCTTAGGTGCGTCACCATGGAATCATTGTTCAGAAACCATTTCTTGCAGATTGAGCACTGGATCTTGTAGAACTTGGGCTGCTGCCCGTTTTGACAGAATCCATGATGCTTCTCAGACTCTTGCGCTTGTATAAAGTTGGCGTTATTCAAGCATCGCTGCATAACACCATCCTCCTTGTCGCATAAATTAGTATTCGCTATTTGCGACCAGTTCTGGTGACTCGTCGACTCTCCCTCCAGCTCCAACTTCACCTGCAAGAATTCACCAAGCTCTCAGAGGTGACGCGGCGACGTGAAAGCGAGCTGCGCTCCTGCTACGCGGAGGCTGGGCCGCTCGACACGCGGCCTTCCGCTAATCGCCGTCCACTCACCATTTCACCAGCGAAGTCCACCTCATTGTTTTCGATAGGCAAGAACAGAGTGCCCTTCTCGAAAGTGCCTGAGCAAATATCCTCCATGTAGTCGGGATCAAATCTGTCGCCTGGTTCCTCCTTAAGCACGACGCTCACAATGTTCTCATCCTTAAAGTAAGCGTTACGTTAGACTCTGGACAGCGCCAGCGGTACGCCGCTTATACCTGCTGCCGTTTCATACAAAAAGTTTACCATAACCTGACTGTCTATGGCTAATGCATCCATCGGTTCATCTTTCACCTTAAAACCTTCCATTTGCTACACTTCATTCTGAAAGTGAAATTAATTTATTCGCATACCAATCCATAATGCGATCCAACACACAGTGTCTAAAGAAAGAAAGAAATGTAAACAAATAAAATACAAAAAAAAACCAAACAAATCTAGGTAGAGAGACAAGGAAAAAGCTTTGTACGCGATGGGTGCAGCCAGAAGTTACATTGGAAAAAAAAAAACCCCCCTCCGTCCGTCCATAACCTCTCGGGACGCGGCCGCCGTTCGCGGGGGCCCGTGCGCGCCGCGGGCCCTCGCCCGCCCCGCGTCGACCGCGGGACCTGTTGCCGCGTCCCGGGAGGGCCGGTCGGATAGGCGCGAGTCTCGATACTCACAGCATAGGTTACATGGCCCTTCCATGGAGTAGAAAAATATAGGTTGCGCGCGCGGGGCCGCCGGACGACGCTCCTTGAACCTGTTCCGCGGCGCCGCTGGGGGAGAATCGCACCGCCGACCTCGGAGCAGTCGATTCGCCGCGGGCGCGGGGCCGTTCTCTCCCTCCGGATTCCGCTCCGTTAACACACACCGGGATTACCGTGCGCGAGCCGCTCGCCGTGGACGCAGGGGACGCGCGAGCGCGACGACGGGCTCCGTGTCTCTCTCTCGGCCGACGAGGGAATCGACGAGGTGGGTGATGCGCTACGCGTCGGCTGGCGTAGATAACGTAACGTTGCACAAAACGCACGCGCGCGCGCGCGCGCATATCCACACGCGCACGTACACGCCGCGCACACACGCGCGCGCACCTGCGCGCGCGCGCGCACGTATCGTAACGTAGGAATCACCGATGCCTCCTCCTATGCACGAATTTGCGCGCGTGTCGACTTGCGCTTGTACGCTTTTCCATGCACGCGCGCGCGGAAAGTGCATGCGTGTTCTACCCGCGCCTAAATTTCTGCGGGGAGGCGTCAGTGTATTCCTGGCGTGCACACGATCGCGCGCACGTACGCGCGGGCGTACGTGACGCGCGGCGGTCACCCACACGGGCGCGCGCGCGTGCGCGCGCACGCACGCCGCGCGCGTATTGCATCCGCGAGGCGCTGCGCACGTTTTGGTGTCGGTGCGTGGCGCGCGTCTGACAATTGGACAAAGTTGGACGAATGTGTCCGCGCGGGGCAGGTGCTTTCTCGGCGCGCGATACTCTTGCTCGCGCGGGACGAGTCGACGGGTCCAGTTGACGTTTCTGCGTCGGATAAGAAGGAGCACTTTTTCACGCGACGGAGCGAGAGAGAGAGAGAGAGAGCGAGAGAGCGCACGTGCGCGGGAAGAAACCGAACCGGGTAAGCGCAAATATTGAGAAGAACGAGCGGAAGGAGTCGGCGTCCCTGCTCGAGAGATTAAACAAACAAGGCCCGGTTTCACCAACGTCGCTTAACTTTAAGCTTGGTTTAATTGGTTCTTCGTCTCTTTCCAACTGTTACTTTAGAAGGAGACAAACGCGAATCAAACGGAGGTTAAAGTTTAAGCGACGTTTGGTGAAACCGGGCCCGAGAGTCTTATTCGTTTGTTCTATCTATCGTTTTAAACAGGGATGAGTAAGTGTGTGGTTTTATAAATTAAAAATGGATAATTTATACGTGTAAATTAATGAATTACTTATACGTATATATATTGTGCAGGCCAAAATAAGTTGACAATACTATCATGACGTTTTCTTGTCCTTGAGATGATTCATGATGTAATCAGAGATCTCTATACGATGTATCAGATGGACTAGCGTGAGTAAGCACGTTACAGTTGGAATGAATCACGCAAAATTTGTGGCAATGATCGGTAATGAGAATAATCCAGAAACTCGTGATCCAAGGAGAGGAAAAAGCGAGGGGGGGGGGGGGAACCGCTGACCAAAATCTTGTACACCAATGCCCGCTAATGCCCAGTGGACATTACTTTATCTTATTGTCTTATTTTATCTTTATAATGCTCCAGCAAGAGGAGAATGCTTAAACTAATGCCCAAAAATGCCTAGTAATGTCTAGTAATGCTCAGTAATGCCGCAAATCTGTACACCACAATGCCCTCAGCGGTTTCCCCCTCGGGAACCCTCGGGAAAAAGACAAGATACACAACTATCCTCACCTAATGCTTCACAACGATTACATTTTATGTATATACAGGGTGAGTCTTTCCATATCCGACAAAATTTTTGAGAAGGTAGAACGGATCGACATGAACGAAAAAGTCCTGTACCATTTTGCAATTTTCGTAATAGTTAACGAGTAATTAATTATTAAAAGTCGTTGTCTTAGGCCGGCCTACCGCCCAATTCGAGCGCGTGGCAAGATGTGACCGCCCGGCGATCGATATTGCTATGCGCACATCTCGCCACGCGCTCGAATTGGGCGGTAGGCCAGCCTAAGACAACGATTTTTAATAATTAATTACTCGTTAACTATTACGAAAATTGCAAAATGATACAGGACTTTTCCGTTCATCTCGATC